GGTTTTAGCAATGAGGTAAAAGATTGCAGATAATCTCCAGTAACTCAGGCCCCACGATATTTTATTTACTAAAAACTCTAGAAAAGCTTTCAGTAAAAAGTGGAGTGCTTTTCTTTTTGGTGAAGCATCAATTCACAACAATCGTTTCAGCCTTATCTTGAATCATAAAGCTGAGTTGGCCATTTCAAAGCGGAGAGGAAAAAAGGGGGGAAAATGATGAAAACATTTTCATAGTAAAATATTGTGGGAAGAAAGTAAAGAGAAATTGTCCAGAATCACATTAGCACTCCCTACTTTTAAATAGCAGAATCTGTGTACATGAGTTTTTTCCTTGCTTTGATGCTTGAGAGTTGAATGGTGAATTCATTCATTCATTTATCCAACAGGAACTGCTCACCTGCTCTGTGCAGTGCAGTCTTTTTTAATTTAATTTTATTTTTTGTAATGAAGTCTCACTCCATCACCCAGGCTGGAGTGTGGTGGTGCAATCTCGGCCCATTGCAACCTCCGCCTCCCATGTTCAAGCGATTCTCCTGTCTCAGCTTCTGGAGTAGCTGAGATGACAGGTACGCACCACCGTACCCAGCTTTTTTTGTGTTTTTAATAGAGATGGGGTTTCACCATGTTGGCCAGGCTGATCTCAAACTCCTGACCTCCAGTGATCCACCAGCCTCGGCCTCCCAAAGTGCTGGGATTACAGGTGTGAGCCACCATACCCGGCCTCTGTGCCGTCGATTAAGGACTGGATATAAAGAAAAAAAGACATGTGGCTTGTCTCCACAGAGCTTATGATTCAATAGGGAAGGCAGACATGGCAGACCCATGTGACAGTCAAGGTGCTATGACAGAGAAGCACACAGAAAACTGGAGCAGAGCCCACCCTACACTGAAGAGGGTGAGACTGGGCAAAGTGGTCCATGTCTGTAATCCTAGCGCTTTGGAAGGCTGAGACAGGAGTATTGCTTGAGCCCAGGAGATTGAGACCAGCTTGGCCAACAGTGAGACCTCATCTTTACAAAAAGTTTTAAAAATATATTAACCAGGTGTGGTGGCACATGCCTGTAGTCCCAGCTACTCAAGAGGCTGAAGCAGGAGGATCACTTGAGCCCAGGAGTTTGAGACTAGGCTGGACAATACAGTGAGACCCCATCTCTACAAAAAGTTCTAAAAATATATTAGCCAGCTGTGGTGGCACATGTCTGTAGTCCCAGCTACTCAAGGGGCTAAGGCAGAAGGATTGCTTGAGCCCAGGAGTTTGAGGCTGCAGAGAGGTCATGCTACTGTACTCCAGCCTAGGTCACAGAGAGGCTCTGTCTCTAAAATTAAAAAAATAATAATAATTTTTAAGAAAGACAATGAGAATGCTCAGAAAGACTTCCTGGAGGCATCATGAAGGATACGTGATGGTTAACTGACTGGAGAAGATAGAAATAGTGCTTAAAATCTCTCTGTTGCAAATAATAGCCTAATGCAAACTGGCTTACGTGCAAAAGAGAATATACTGGTTCTTGTACCTGAAAGGTCCGGGGAATTTTGGCTTCAGTCATAGCTGGACCCAGGATCTAGTAGAGAATCATCAGGGGTCTGCCCAACAGCCTCTTCCTTCTTCCTTGCTAATAGAGCCCCAAATTTGTTCACCCTCAGTGGAGCTGCTTTGTCTTTCGGGAGGGACTAGGCTTAACGCATTACATTTGCAACAATCCTGTTTCCAACACAGTCAAATTCTGAGGTCCTGAGAGTTATACTTCAACATATGAATTTTGGGGTGATACAAGTTAACCCTTAACACTCTGCTTTTCCTTCCTCCATCACTCTAATCTCCTGCTGGTGTCTCCCGTTGGCTGGACCCATGTGGAAGGTATGTTACAGGAAAGGGCAGGCCCCAAGGGAGTTGTTGGATCTTGCACAAGAAAGAATTCAGGGCGAGTCTGTAAAGTGAAAGCCAAGTTTCTTAAGAAAGTAAAGAATAAAAGAATGGCTACTTCAGAGAGCAGCCCCGAGGGCTGCTGGTTGCCCATTTTTATGGTTATTTCTTGAGTATATGCTAAACAAGGGGTGGATTATTTATGGTGCTCCTTTTTAGACTATACAGGGTAACTTCCTGACATTGCCATGGTGTTTGTAAACTGTCATGGTGCCGGTGGGAGTGTAGTGGTGAGGACACTCAGAGGTCACTCATTGCCCTCGTTTTTGGCCAGCTTCTTTACTGCAACCTGTTTTATCTGCAAGGTCTTTATGACCCGGATCTTGCGCCGACCTCCTGTCTCATCCTGTGACTTAGAATGCCTTAACCGTCTGGGAATGCAGCCTAGTAGCTCTCAGCCTCATCTTATCCAGTCCCTATTCAAGATGGAGCTGTTCTAGTTCACACGCCTCTGACATTTCCAATAAGGTCACATTCTGAAGGGCTTATACTTCACCATATGAATTTTGGGATGAGAAAATTCAACCCCTAACTCTCTGCCTTTCCCTCCCCCATCTCTCTGATCTCCTTCTAGTACCTCCCATAGGATGGACCCATCTGGAGGGTACAAGAGCCTGATTGATGTGAACTATGAAAAGCAGCTTCCTGAGACACAGAGCAGGGGAGGGAGGATGGATCTGGAGGGGCAAAGAGGATTCCCAGGACACTCTGTAGCATCTTTCTTCCTGGGAAGGATCTCTCCACACCTCCAGCCTGACTTGGTTCTTAGCTCCTGCTATTTTAAAAGGAGACAGAGATTTTATCACCCGATTTCCATAACAATTCTCTAAAAGAAGTTAGTTGACTGGTATTCTTTGGGTTACAAGAAGAAACTTTCAATGGAAATCGAAGACAGGCTATCTGGCGCTCTGCCCCATTGGCAGGCTCAGCATGTCTTCTCCCCATTACTCTGCGATGTCTTTTCCCTTGTAGCTTACCAAGTATCTGTCCCTTAGGAGCTGGATCCAGTTGCCTGTATTGAAAACTCAAGAACAGTGGTAGTAAAACCAATGAAGTTGATTTCTCCTTACACATTTAGATGTCCAGAGTAGGGCAGGCCCAAGCTGATGCAATGGCTAAGGAAGTCAGCAAAGACACAGGCTCTTTCTATCCCCTGCTTCACCATCCTCAGCACACGGCTTTGGCCGTCATGGCTAAAAGGGGCTGTTGGATTTCCAGTCCCACATCTGTGTTTCATTCAGCCTGGAATACGTGAAAGGAAACTTCAAGGAAGAAGGGGCAGCAGAAATCAGGAAAGCGTGATTTTTTAGAGGTCCCTGTTTGTATCTCACCAGGCAGAACTGTGTGACATAGCTGTCCCTTACTACATGGGAGCCTGGGGGATGTAGATTTTTGGCTGAGCTGATTGCCATTTGGAAGCAATCAGGCTTCTATTAATAAGGTTGAAGTGGAGAGTGATCTTGGGTGGAGAGCTAGCAGGGTCAGCCTCACTGCTGGTGGTACCTGTGTATGGGCGTCTCATTGGAAGGTAGCACTCAGACCAGAAGGACTGCCGTTTGGAGGATTTGAGTAGATTTGGGGTAAAGCAATATATATATACAATTACTCATAAAAGAGAAGCACAGTCTAGATTTAAATAACAAAATCCTTCGATTCCAAAAGTATGTAATAAGCCCCAATATGAGCACTGGTTTTTATTAGTACCTGACCTTAGAAAATATGCTTACTGAAAGAGAACTAAAGAAATGTCTTTAGAATTCTTTGCCCAAGTTACTGTTTGTTGATGTTCTTATAAATCTCATAAAGGATTCATGCATATTTCATCTAACACAAGCAATCAGTTAACCTCCTTTCCTTTGTCCTACTCAGACATGTGGCCAAAGTGAGAATATACAGTGGACCCCTAAACAATATGATGCCAAACCCTGTGCAGTCAGAACTCCACTTATAACTGTGGCCTTGCACAATGGCTCACACCTGTAATCCCAGCACTTTGGGAGGCCGAGACAGGGCAGACTGCTTGAGCTTAGGAGTTCAAGACCAACCTGGGGAACATGATGAAACCCCATCTCCAAAAAAAAAAATACAAAAAATTTGCCAGGCATGGTGGTATGTGCCTGTAGTCCCAGGTACTGGGGAGGCTGAGGTGGGAGGATCGCTTGAGCCTGGGAGGCTTCTGCAGTGAGCCTAGATCACGCCACTGCACTCCACCCTGGACGATAGAATGAGGCTGTGTCACAAAAAGAAAGCAAGAAAATCCACAAAGAGCTTTTGACTTTCCGAAAACTTAACTACCGACAGCCTACTGTTGACTGGATGCCTTACCAGTAACACAAATTTTGTATATGTATTATATACTGTATTCTTTTAGGCAAGTTAGTGAAAGAAAATTTATTAAGAAAACCATAAAAAAAAAAATACATTTACTAGTCATTAAGTGGAAGTGGATCATCATAAAGGTCTTCTTCCTTCAGGCTTAGTAGGCCAAGAAGGAGGAGGAAGAGGAAGGATTGGTTTTGCTGCCTCAGGGGTGGCAGAGGTGGAAGATGTAGACGGGGCAGGAGAGGCAGGCACACTTGGTATCAAGTTTTAATGAAAAGACGTCATATATGAGGAACGAGACCCTTAATCACCCTTAAGCATCTAAGACCACCTCCCCCTTGACCTCTACACTGCATTTCAATAGGGGAAGTAAAGGCTGGCAGACCAGGCGCCACCTTGAATCGCCCTCCTATAGACTGCAGGCAAGGTATGGAGGAGTCTTCCCAGAAGGCAGTTTGTGCCTAAACAAGATCAAACCCCCTCTTAAGTCACATACCCCACGCCTGCCTCATGGATCAAGACTCTTTCACATGTAATTTCTAGAGTTTTAAGCCTTTAAAAAGGCAGATTTTCTTTGTTAGGAGAGCTTGGCTGTTAGGCAACTATGCTGCTGCTGCTCCCGGCTGAATAAATTACCTCTTCCTTCCCAGTTCCGTGTTTGAGAGGTTTGTTTTGCAGCCTACAAGTAGACGTACAGTTCAAACTCATGTGGTTTAAGGCTCAACTGTAACTTAATGATCTCTTCTCTCTTTAGAGGAAAAGAACCAAATTCATTGCCTGTGATTTCCTGACCGAGTGGTTATACAAGTAAGTTGTTCATGCCTGACTATTCAGTGATCCTAAGAATCGAATCATGTGAATTTGCAAGCAGAATGGCAACAACCGACTTGAATTCTTGCTTTTTGTTTTCTTGTCAATGAAACACATGGCATCGTGACCAGCCAAAATCCAAAGAGGGCAGGGGAGCCATTCACAGAATTCTTCTCCATTCCATTTGTGAAGGAGTGGCTAGAGCAACAGTAAGTATGGCACGAGGCTTTGAATAATTTATTCCTAATTTAAGACTGTGTTAATAATAGTTTTCTTCAGTCCGAGAGAACTAACTGATGTGATCCATCCAGGACTCTGGGCCATCGTATTTGTGACTCTTGTCTCTAGTTATTCTTAGCCTAGGCTAACCTTATCCTAATCATGCCAGTAACTTCATTCAAGAAGCTCACCAGAAATAAAGTAGAAAACTTAAAAAACAGGCCGGGCGCGGTGGCTCAAGCCTGTAATCCCAGCACTTTGGGAGGCCGAGGCGGGTGGATCATGAGGTCAAGAGATCGAGACCATCCTGGTCAACATGGTGAAACCCCGTCTCTACTAAAAATACAAAAAATTAGCTGGGCATTGTGGCGCGTGCCTGTAATCCCAGCTACTCAGGAGGCTGAGGCAGGAGAATGGCCTGAACCCAGGAGACGGACGGAGGTTGCGGTGAGCCGAGATCGCGCCATTGCACTCCAGCCTGGGTAACAAGAGCGAAACACCATATCTCAAAAAAAAAAAAAAAAAGGAAAAAAAAAAAAAGAAAACTTAAAAAACAATCTTATCCTAAGTAATTGATCCCTCCATTCCCTTCACTTTTTTTCTCTCTCTGAAGGTCACTATGTCTCAGGAAATATGACTAAGCTTTTTAAAATACTTAGAAAATACTAAGAAAGCTTCAATAATAAGTTGTCTGCATCAATTCTCCATCTATAATATTAGAACATGACAGATAAAATTAAAACTCTTTGACCATTTGAATGTGGGTTTCCTCCCCACATTGAGGTAATCAGTTCAGTCTACAGTGCAGCCTTACAGACCTCTTAGTTATTTCACTATATAAAATTAGTTTATATCTGGCCGGGCACAACAGCTTATGCCTTTAATCCCAGCATTTTGGGAGGCCAAGGTGGGTGGATCACTTGAGGTCAGAAGTTCGAGACCAGCCTGGCCAACATGATGAAATCCCTGTCTCTATTAAAAATAACAAAACTTAGCTGGGCGTGGTAGCATGTGGCTGTAATTCCAGCTACTTGAGAGGGTGAGGCAGGAGAATCGCTTGAATCTCAGAGGTGGAGATTGTAGTGAGCCGAGATTGTGCCACTGCACTCCAGCCTGGGGGACAGGGCGAGACTCTGTCTCAAAAAAAAAAAAAAATTTAGACTCTCGGCTCTCACTTGTCACATATTTTGCTTAAATCTGCCCTCTTTGAGAATGGCAAGATGAATAGACCCCTGGCTAACTTTTGCAATTTTGAGAATTAAAAAACTCCATATATTACCAGTTTTTTTTTTTTAATCTGAGATTACATATTGAAAGGACAGCAACGTCAGAAAACCTTGTTTCTTATTTAGCTTTTGAACCTGTGGCTGATTTTATCTGCTATGAAATGTACAGCCCAAAATGTATTGATTTGCATGTATTTTTCTAAGATAAGTTTCTTTTAGTATCATTCTCCAAGTTGCTGCTTTGCCTTGAAAATAACACATTTTTCCATGTGTAATAATCTATGAAAAATAATCTTAAAAATGAGAAAACTTCTCTAATAAGAATCCTCTAGGATATTTATTATACAAATATCTTAATTTTAAATGGCTGCTGACAGTCACAGGCAGCTCATATAAATATACTGTAAAGCAGTAGCGGTCATTTCAGCTGGACTCCACAGGAACAGAAACACAAGAGCTGTTACTTTAACTGGCCTTTGTATCCTCTACATCCATGACCTTTCAACGAGATGCCCAGATGCATGATAAAAATTAAAGTGATATTCATCTATTTGATTTCATGAGGGTCCCTTGAACACCTACCCAGTTCAACTGCACAGAACTTGGCGCTGTGGAAAAAACAGAGATGAATAAAGTATGGCCCTGGCCCTTGGGGTGAGGACGGCGTGTTTACGACTTGCTGTAGTTTCTGTAGTGAGTGTTGTAATACAAATGTTAACAAAGCATTGAAGGGAAGTGGGGAAGCATGAGACCGTCCACGTGCCCTTCCTGGTGGGCCTGGAGCCAGCCCAGCTGGGGCAGCGGCCAAGCTGGTTGGTGCTCAGATTTGGCCCAAGGCAAGAACTGAAACCCTACATTCTTCCTGTCTCAAGCAGGAATAGTCAGAGAAGCAAGTATGAACCAAAGTTCTTAAGGAGAGCAAGACCGGAGCCGGGAAATAATATCCAATCCGAGGATGAGGTTGTCTCATCCTCGGCACTCCACTGACATTTAGGACTGGATAATTCTTTGCTGCAAGGAGCTGACCTGTGCATTGCAGGATGTTTTGCAGCATCTCTGGCCTCCACCTACTAGATGCCAGTAGCACCCTCCTACAGTTGTGACGATCAGGAATATCTCCAGACACTGAAGTATGTCTCCAAGGAGAGTGAGGCAAATTGCCTCTGGTTGAGAACCTCTGATTTAGTTCAGTAGTTTCAAAACTTTAACTTTACCCAACACTTTGGGAGGCCGAGGTGGCCAGATCACTTGAGGTCAGGACTTCGAGACCAGCCTGGCCAAGGCAGTAAAACCCCATCTCCACTAAAAATACGAAAATTAGCCAGGTGTGGTGGCATGTGCCTGTAATCCCAGCTACAGTTAGTGCTCGACTTACGACCATGATTGGTTCCGACGGACGGGTCGTAACACGATTTGGTCGTAAGTTGAGCAGGCTATATGTACAGTACTGTGAAATGATGTTATAAAAATCTTTAAGTCATATTTTATCATAATTTTCTTTCATTATTGTTATATATCATAATTTTCTTTGTTCATTTTATGCCATTTGTATCATCTTTACACCATTTTGTTTCTTATTTTTACATTCGTCAGGTTTAAGTAAAACACTGCATTACCGGTACAACTGGTTTAATATTTGCAAAACATAAAAAAATTACAAAATACAGGTGCATACAAAAATACAAAATACAGGTGTAAAAAATACCATAGGGAACATTTTGCCAATTGCAAAACATATCAAAATATATAAACATGTACGAAACATTTTATTGGCCGCTGGTGCTTGGCTGCGGATCGTTGACGTCGTCATCTGAGGCAGCAGTTGGGGTTACCGGAGTTGGTTTTTTCATAAACATGGTGAGCTTTGTCTAAATTGTATGTTTCTTTCTTCATAAATTTCACGATACGGATGAAACACATCGTGCGCCATCCGTTCAATCCTTGCAAATCGTTCGATGTTTGGGTCCATTGCTTCGAAATGTATAAGTTTATTGGGAGGGGTTTGATGAAAAATATCCAAGACACAAAACACAAATTGCTGTACCGAGTCTGGGATAACAGTTGAAATGGTGCACGCGGAGATGGTAGTGCTGCTGGAAGCTGGTCCGCACTGTCGTACGCCCAGCTGGGCAAAGGTTGTGCTGCCAGACGCGGAGCAGTCGTGGCTAGCAATTGTGGTCGTAAAGTTGCATGGTCGTAAGTTGCATAGGTCGTAAGTCGATCAATACCTGTACTCAGGAGGCTGAGGTCGAAGAATCGCTTGAACCCAGGAGGCAGAGGTTGCAGCAAGCCGAGATGGTGAAACAGAAAGTTCTCTTGCCCCTCTTGCCCGGGGCAGTGCAACAGGGGCAGTGCCTGGCTTCTTCAGTGGACGGTGCATACAGACAGGCAGGCTCTGAGGCTCTGACCCCACTGCAGTGTCTAGAGGTGAATGTTCACAGCTGAAGCACCAGTGGGGGTATATTATTAGGTAATCTCTTAGTTTGCCATCTATAGGTGGCTTGTGTTAACCAGCTCAATTAGACCCTCTACCTTGTCACAAGGACAGATTTCCATATCGCAGGTTCTGGATTCTTGCCTTCGTGTACCAGAAGAATCAGATCACACACGGGCTTCAAGAATGAGTGCAAAGTTTTATTGAGTGGAAGTAGCTCTCAGCCCATGAAAGAGCCAGAAAGGAGATGGTTTTCCCCACAGAGTTGGGCTGTTCGGGGGCCTCCCTCAGCTCTACTCCAACTAACAGCCCTGGCCTGACTCCGCCTTGTCCTGGCAGGTGCTGGTGCCCATCAGCATGCTCTTCTGCTGATGTGCTCCTCTCAACATCCTCTCAATGAGCTGCTGCTTGCATCTTCTTCCACTGATGTGCTTCTCTCAAAGTCTGGCTGCCTGTGTGTCTGCTCACTAGGGTCTCAGGATTTTATAGGCCCAGGATGGGGGTGTGGCAAGCCACGGTAGTCTTGGGAAATGCAACATTTGGGCAGGAAATGCCTGTTCTCATCTAGGTCTGTGAGGGTGGAGCCCTAGCCAGGGACCATGCCCACATCTACACAGCACTTCCCTTCCCCCTTCCATATCATTTAAAGGGACCACGCTCTTCCCTTCCCAGCACTCCTGTATCAATGGTGCCACTGCACTCCAGCCTGGGTGACAGAGTGAGATTCCATCTCAATAAATAAATAAATAAATATTCACCCAAGGACCTTTGGGAAAATATTGGTACCTAACTTCATCCAGATCAATTAATTCATAACCTTCAGGCATAGCCTGGGCATTGACATTGTTTTTTTGCTTTTTTTTTTTTTTTTTTTTTTAAGCTTCATAGGTAATTCTAATATATAGCCAGGAGCTTATCCATCCATAGGACAGAATAAAGTACTGCATCCAGGAACTAAAAAATAGTATAACTGAGCCATTGCTTCACTAACTGCTTTGATACATGCCATCTCATTTCCTCTTCACAGCACTAGGATGTAGATCTAAAGCTGAGAGCCTACAGCTGGGAAGTCGACCATGAAGTGAGATGGGTCTTGGGCAAATAAGGTGATTACTGGGGCACGAGTAGTATGGATGGACATTTTGAGTAGGGCTTAAAGGTACAGACTGGAGGAAGATGACTTTCAAGGGGGAGACTCTGTCAAGGCTTTTTAAAGGAAGTGAAATGTAAACTACAGTAGTACTTCAGGCAGTGTTGAATTAAGAGCCTGAGCTTTTGGGATGGATAAACCAGTATTTAAATCACTACTGTCTGGATGCAGTGGCTCATG